ATGAGACATATACTCTGGCTGAAGTACAGTGGTGTGCTCATTGTTGTATTAGGTACTGCAGGTGACACAGAATGAGACATATACTCTGGCTGAAGTACAGTGGTCTGCTCATTGTTGTATTAGGTACTGCAGGTGACACAGAATGAGACATATACTCTGGCTGAAGTACAGAGGTCTGCTCATTGTTGTATTAGGTACTGCAGGTGACACAGAATGAGACATATACTCTGGCTGAAGTACAGTGGTCTGCTCATTGTTGTATTAGGTACTGCAGGTGACACAGAATGAGACATATACTCAGGCTGAAGTACAGTGATCTACTCATTGTTGTATTAGGTACTGTAGGTAACACAGAATGAGACATATACTCTGGCTGAAGTACAGTGGTGTGCTCATTGTTGTATTAGGTACTGCAGGTGACACAGAATGAGACATATACTCTGGCTGAAGTACAGTGGTCTGCTCATTGTTGTATTAGGTACTGCAGGTAACACAGAATGAGACATATACTCTGGCTGAAGTACAGAGGTCTGCTCATTGTTGTATTAGGTACTGCAGGTGACACAGAATGAGACATATACTCTGGCTGAAGTACAGAGGTCTGCTCATTGTTGTATTAGGTACTGCAGGTGACACAGAATGAGACATATACTCTGGCTGAAGTACAGTGGTCTGCTCATTGTTGTATTAGGTACTGCAGGTGACACAGAATGAGACATATACTCTGGCTGAAGTACAGTGGTCTGCTCATTGTTGTATTAGGTACTGCAGGTGACACAGAATGAGACATATACTCTGGCTGAAGTACAGTGGTCTGCTCATTGTTGTATTAGGTACTGCAGGTTGTACAGAATGAGACATATACTCTGGCTGAAGTACAGTGGTCTGCTCATTGTTGTATTAGGTACTGCAGGTGACACAGAATGAGACATATACTCTGGCTGAAGTACAGTGGTCTGCTCATTGTTGTATTAGGTACTGCAGGTGACACAGAATGAGACATATACTCTGGCTGAAGTACAGTGGTCTGCTCATTGTTGTATTAGGTACTGCAGGTGACACAGAATGAGACATATACTCTGGCTGAAGTACAGTGGTCTGCTCATTGTTGTATTAGGTACTGCAGGTGACACAGAATGAGACATATACTCTGGCTGAAGTACAGTGGTCTGCTCATTGTTGTATTAGGTACTGCAGGTGACACAGAATGAGACATATACTCTGGCTGAAGTACAGTGGTCTGCTCATTGTTGTATTAGGTACTGCAGGTGACACAGAATGAGACATATACTCTGGCTGAAGTACAGTGGTCTGCTCATTGTTGTATTAGGTACTGCAGGTGACACAGAATGAGACATATACTCTGGCTGAAGTACAGTGGTCTGCTCATTGTTGTATTAGGTACTGCAGGTGACACAGAATGAGACATATACTCTGGCTGAAGTACAGTGGTCTGCTCATTGTTGTATTAGGTACTGTAGGTGACACAGAATGAGACATATACTCTGGCTGAAGTACAGTGGTCTGCTCATTGTTGTATTAGGTACTGCAGGTGACACAGAATGAGACATATACTCTGGCTGAAGTACAGAGGTCTGCTCATTGTTGTATTAGGTACTGCAGGTGACACAGAATGAGACATATACTCTGGCTGAAGTACAGTGGTCTGCTCATTGTTGTATTAGGTACTGCAGGTGACACAGAATGAGACATATACTCTGGCTGAAGTACAGTGGTCTGCTCATTGTTGTATTAGGTACTGCAGGTGACACAGAATGAGACATATACTCTGGCTGAAGTACAGTGGTCTGCTCATTGTTGTATTAGGTACTGCAGGTGACACAGAATGAGACATATACTCTGGCTGAAGTACAGAGGTCTGCTCATTGTTGTATTAGGTACTGCAGGTGACACAGAATGAGACATATACTCTGGCTGAAGTACAGTGGTCTGCTCATTGTTGTATTAGGTACTGCAGGTGACACAGAATGAGACATATACTCTGGCTGAAGTACAGTGGTCTGCTCATTGTTGTATTAGGTACTGTAGGTGACACAGAATGAGACATATACTCTGGCTGAAGTACAGTGGTCTGCTCATTGTTGTATTAGGTACTGCAGGTGACAGAATGAGACATATACTCTGGCTGAAGTACAGTGGTCTGCTCATTGTTGTATTAGGTACTGCAGGTGACACAGGATGAGACATATACTCTGGCTGAAGTACAGTGGTCTGCTCATTGTTGTATTAGGTACTGCAGGTGACACAGAATGAGACATATACTCTGGCTGAAGTACAGTGGTCTGCTCATTGTTGTATTAGGTACTGCAGGTGACACAGAATGAGACATATACTCTGGCTGAAGTACAGTGGTCTGCTCATTGTTGTATTAGGTACTGCAGGTGACACCAGAATGAGACATATACTCTCTGGCTGAAGTACAGTGGTCTGCTCATTGTTGTATTAGGTACTGCAGGTGACACAGAATGAGACATATACTCTGGCTGAAGTACAGTGGTCTGCTCATTGTTGTATTAGGTACTGCAGGTGACACAGAATGAGACATATACTCTGGCTGAAGTACAGTGGTCTGCTCATTGTTGTATTAGGTACTGCAGGTGACACAGAATGAGACATATACTCTGGCTGAAGTACAGTGATCTGCTCATTGTTGTATTAGGTACTGCAGGTGACACAGAATGAGACATATACTCTGGCTGAAGTACAGTGGTCTGCTCATTGTTGTATTAGGTACTGCAGGTTGTACAGAATGAGACATATACTCTGGCTGAAGTACAGTGGTCTGCTCATTGTTGTATTAGGTACTGCAGGTGACACAGAATGAGACATATACTCTGGCTGAAGTACAGTGGTCTGCTCATTGTTGTATTAGGTACTGCAGGTGACACAGAATGAGACATATACTCTGGCTGAAGTACAGTGGTCTGCTCATTGTTGTATTAGGTACTGCAGGTGACACAGAATGAGACATATACTCTGGCTGAAGTACAGTGGTCTGCTCATTGTTGTATTAGGTACTGCAGGTGACACAGAATGAGACATATACTCTGGCTGGCTGAAGTACAGTGGTCTGCTCATTGTTGTATTAGGTACTGCAGGTTGACACAGAATGAGACATATACTCTGGCTGAAGTACAGTGGTCTGCTCATTGTTGTATTAGGTACTGCAGGTGACACAGAATGAGACATATACTCTGGCTGAAGTACAGTGGTCTGCTCATTGTTGTATTAGGTACTGCAGGTGACACAGAATGAGACATATACTCTGGCTGAAGTACAGTGGTCTGCTCATTGTTGTATTAGGTACTGCAGGTGACACAGAATGAGACATATACTCTGGCTGAAGTACAGTGGTCTGCTCATTGTTGTATTAGGTACTGCAGGTGACACACAGAATGAGACATATACTGAGTGGCTGAAGTACAGTGGTCTGCTCATTGTTGTATTAGGTACTGTAGGTGACACAGAATGAGACATATACTCTGGCTGAAGTACAGTGGTCTGCTCATTGTTGTATTAGGTACTGCAGGTGACACAGAATGAGACATATACTCTGGCTGAAGTACAGTGGTCTGCTCATTGTTGTATTAGGTACTGTAGGTGACACAGAATGAGACATATACTCTGGCTGAAGTACAGAGGCCTGCTCATTGTTGTATTAGGTACTGCAGGTGACACAGAATGAGACATATACTCTGGCTGAAGTACAGTGGTCTGCTCATTGTTGTATTAGGTACTGCAGGTGACACAGAATGAGACATATACTCTGGCTGAAGTACAGTGGTCTGCTCATTGTTGTATTAGGTACTGCAGGTGACACAGAATGAGACATATACTCTGGCTGAAGTACAGTGGTCTGCTCATTGTTGTATTAGGTACTGCAGGTGACACAGAATGAGACATATACTCTGGCTGAAGTACAGTGGTCTGCTCATTGTTGTATTAGGTACTGCAGGTGACACAGAATGAGACATATACTCTGGCTGAAGTACAGTGGTCTGCTCATTGTTGTATTAGGTACTGCAGGTGACACAGAATGAGACATATACTCTGGCTGAAGTACAGTGGTCTGCTCATTGTTGTATTAGGTACTGCAGGTGACACAGAATGAGACATATACTCTGGCTGAAGTACAGTGGTCTGCTCATTGTTGTATTAGGTACTGCAGGTGACACAGAATGAGACATATACTCTGGCTGAAGTACAGTGGTCTGCTCATTGTTGTATTAGGTACTGTAGGTGACACAGAATGAGACATATACTCTGGCTGAAGTACAGTGGTCTGCTCATTGTTGTATTAGGTACTGTAGGTGACACAGAATGAGACATATACTCTGGCTGAAATACAGTGGTCTGCTCATTGTTGTATTAGGTACTGTAGGTGACACAGAATGAGACATATACTCTGGCTGAAGTACAGTGGTGTGCTCATTGTTGTATTAGGTACTGCAGGTAACACAGAATGAGACATATACTCTGGCTGAAGTACAGTGGTGTGCTCATTGCTGTATTAGGTACTGTAGGTTGTACAGAATGAGACATATACTCTGGCTGAAGTACAGAGGTCTGCTCTACAAAGTGATCGTTGCACTAAGAGAATCATAACGCCCATTCTTTTGCATACAGTCACGACTGTCGTAGCTCAATGAATGCTATGTTGGATGGGGCCCAGAAATGTAGCCATGATGGCCCTGCATAATACTTCCATAATCCAGCAGTGTACAAGACTGTTTCTCTATACTTCCAATGCTAAATCGCTGTTAACTCATACAGAACATTTGACACAGTGACTCACCATTTCCTGATAGTGTGAGACCTTGTGATCACCAAAACCATATCTTTATGTTAATGTGAAATAATTTCCTGATATATTGCTTTGGGCACGTTCGCTAAGAGGAACATTTTTGATTTGAGATTTGACCATGTTGAAATAATTCCTTTTGATGAATTATTTAATGTGAATGCCATTTTACTTTCAGAACTCAGAATACATCAAATGGTTCTTTTCTTGGGGTCAATGGAGAGGGTTTGAAGAAAAAACCCAGTGCAGATAACCTCAGCAATAATAGTAATCTTAGAAACGATGGATGTTCCCAGTGTCGCAGCAAATATGGAAGTGCTGCCAAGTTCAGCTGTAGTTGTGGAACTAGGAATAGCTTCAGGTGAAGGTGCTGGTCTCTTGATGGAGGAGTCAGGCTCTTGACGGATGTGTCTCAGGATGGATGTGTCAGTTTCATTACAGGTGCATCATTCTCATGTTGGACACATGAGTTCATGGACATCACCTTCTGAGTTAAATCTTTGCTTTGACTACACACAAAGACAACGGCATTGTGTTGCTATCAGACCCTAAAATCTGTTTCTCAAAGCATGGCAATTGTAGATGCCACTGACATATTTACCTGCACAAAGGTTTCTAAAAGACTTGCAAGAGCTGGTTCCCTGCTTAATTCTGTAGATTATGCTATGTAAGTCGATCTGAAAACAATGAACTTTTGGACAGTGTCCTGTGTATCAAAACATTTATCCAGGAAGATGAGTATTATCCTCTTTGTTATTGTTATTTAGTTGTTATGATCCTTACAGAAATCAGGGTTGATCAGAATGATGATTTCAGTGTGTACATTGAACAAACTTGCATGATTGATAGGTTATGAAGTAATACTTTTCTCTATGTAGTATGTTAAACCTTAGCACAGTTAGGTAGGTAAGATTAAATTGGTGATGTGAACATGAAAACTTACTTCCTAATTCTTAATTAATGTTTCAAGTTCTGTTATTCTTAGTGAATGAGTGAGTTTACGCCGCTTTTAGCAATATTTCAGCAATATTATGGCATGGGACACCAGAAATAGCATTCACACATTGTACCCCATTTGGGGAATCGAACCCGGGCCTTAGTCGTGACCAGCAAACGCTTTAACCACTAGGCTACCTCACCAACTTTGTGTTATTCTTAAGTGATGTGGGGCGCAGGGGTAGCCTTTTGGTTAAAGTGATCACTCCTCATGCAAAAGAAATGGGTTCGAATTCCTACTTGGGTACAATGTGTGAAGCCCATTACTGAAGTCCCCGCCATGATATTCCTGGAATATTACTAAGAGGGGCCTAAAACTAACCTCGCTCACTCTTTAAGTGTTTGATTGCATATCATCGCACGACTGGGTTGTCTGGTCAAGACTGTATCTATGATATAGCTTGTATATTTGGCTGAAGAGTGGCACCAGACAATAACACCTGCACTGTATTCATACTGATTAGCCTTTCTCTGATTATGACTATGATCATCATTCCGTCCATCTTGTTCGTCATTATTGTTTATGTCGGCCATTTTTGGATCAGTGTTCTTTTGTTCCTTGTGATGTGTTTGTGTTCTTGTTAATCTTGTAAAGCATTATCATCTGAAGTTCAGTATTTGTCTCTGTAATGATACAAAATGTACCATATACGAGATTGTGAGGAGATTTGCTTAATTTATGTCATCATGTTCTTGCCTGTGATATTTAGTTTACTTCTTGTATTAAGATATTTATATTCTCTTTGTTATATTCTTAAAATGTTTATTTACCTTTGTTGTATATTTACTTCTATTAGTAATCAGCTTGTGTAAAGGTTTATCAAATAAATGTCTATATTTCTTATTAATATAATTAATGTTGTTTTGTAATGATCAAGGTGTGGAGGGTTCTTTGGATGGTGGTAGACTTGGTGATTAAGGGTCAGTGACATCGTGTATCTGTGGAATCTGTTGTTTCGAGCTCATTCCATGTTCCAACATGCGGAATCTATAGAGAGATTCAACCATAACATGTTGATTCAGGAAGCAGAATCATTGCTTTATTATGTTTCCACGGCCCACAAAGTGAGGAGGGGTATATTTGAATATTTTGATATTTTGTGTAGGTCCTTCCATCTTTACTTTTACCATTCCCTTTTCAGTGGGGACACATTTTCAAAAGATGTTCAAGTTGGAGAAATAAATTTGCACTCACTCATATAACTGTTTGGGATCGAAAATTACTTCGGGAATGTGTGTCTTGAATATTTTTTTTACAGAGTTATGGTCCTTGCTTTTCAACTTGGTGCAGGCTTTAAGAGAGAGAACTGAAATGTCATACATTGGAGTCCAATAATAACTTTCTGAAAACTTTGCTTTTCAACTTAGTGAAATAAAATGAAATGGCTCAAATTTTCTAAAAAAAAACCCAACTGCTGAAGTTACATGTATGAAAGTGCTACCATACTTCTTTGTGACACATTTTATTGAGGTCTTACCGTTGTACCCCAGAAAGTTGTCTTGTTTCATGAACGTGTCAAAGGCTGAAATTGATTAAACACCAAAAATGCCTGCATTGCTATATACTTCCAGAGCTACACAGGACTTTCTACAACAGAACGGTGTCAACATTATGCAGTGGCCAGCCCTTAGTCCTGATTTAAACCCAATTGAACATCTTTGGGGTGAAATGCAGAAGAGACTGAATAATGTCATAGCAAGTCCGAACACAGCCGATTTATTGCGCCAGGCCTTTCTCAGAGTGTGGTTCCAGGTGCCAATGGCCTTCATCAATCAATTGGTGCACTCCAGCCATAGACGCTGTGCTGCAGTTATTGCCGCTTGTGGTGGTCACACTAAATACTGATGTCAAGTGTCTTACTGGACTGCAAACGTTCACGTAATGTCTTGAATAAATGAGTTATTCATTGATGTACATAAAAATGGTTTTGATCCGCTTATTATGTCAATTTCGGTAATGATTTGATTACAGTGCCAATCTAATTGTGAATTCGTACTGACGTTTTTTTTTGCATATTTCCACAGTGCCAAGTTTCCATTGCTATCTGTCTCATCCCCATTATGTAATATTACGCTTTACTGTATAACTTGTTTGGCTGTATAACTAATCCCCGTGTCTTGTGGACAATGAAAATGTTTAAAGCAAAACAGTGATCTTAAACATGTAACTGCATGCATATCTTATCAAGATATCTTATGCATTTGAAGTGTACCACTCAAGTGGGTACCGACAGGTTGCAATGAGGATTATAGTTACAGCACGTCATGCTTGCGAATAACGTAATGCAAAAATGTAATTTATAAACTTATCCTATCTCACGATTTGCATTTCTCTCTCTTGCTTCGATACTGAGTGAAACGAATGAGAACTTTCACTGTAGGCCTCTCTTGTCCATACGCCCGTGTTCCCCAGGCTGCTCTCCTTATAGGACAGGTCCCTAGTCCAATGCTGAGCATGCAACACGCTCCCCTGTCTACCCACGTGACTACCTCAGAGTGATCATTCTTCTTCATGTGTGGACGTATTGTGAGAGTTCTCAGTTTTCCTTACAAGTTAACGTGAGAAATATATCATGGATAGTTGACCCTAAGTAGCGTAAACAACAATTTCTTCCTCGGATCCCCACTCGTCATGTGTGGATTGTATTGGCCTGTGTTCCTGGAGCGAGCGCTGTCGCGAATGTGTTCCCTTATATAAGACGTTTTTAGAGCATATGGACGTGCTTGCTCCTGTTGGCTGGCAAACAAAGCTCGTTATACTTCAACAGAGCATGGTCGATCAATCACCCGACAAAACTCCTACATTGAAAGACCCGTATTAACTGCTCATCATTCGAAGATTACACTGTCGGAAGGTGATGATTTTTTTGGGGCATCGTCTGATGTCTACAGTACTCGTTAAGTACAATTTCTTGTACTATTGTTGGGTTGAGTCCCATGCGGGATTCGAATACACATCTATATGGCATTGTGCAGTGATGTGTCTACTCACCGTTCTGCCTCATCGAATCGCTCTATGTTGCCCGCTGACTCACACAACCAATCTAGAGCGTCAAATCGCTGAACTGATTCACCACACCGAATCGGTTCGCCACTCCAAATGGATTTACCAGGCTCAACCGTTTCGCCACGGCATATTGGGTCACAACACCGACTCAATTCGCCATATATGACTGTTTCTTTTATGACTGTCACCGCACCGAAATGGTTCGCCTCGCCGTTATGGCTCTCTTCACCGAAACGACTCACCTCGTTGAACCGATTAACCTTGCCAAACCGGTTCATCTGATCGTTCTAGATCTCTCCATCAACAGATTCTCTCGTTCTGTTGCAAGGTCAAGGACATTATCTGGCGGATGAGGAAGACGGCGTAGACGTCAATCTATATCGTCCCAAACATGCTCTATCGGGGAGAGATCCGGTGAATTTGCAGGCCAAGGCAGTAAGTCAACGTTGTGATGTTGCAAGAAATCCATAGCAACCCTTGCCGTATGAGGCGGGCATTGTCCTGTTGGAATGTTAACCAAGGGCCATGATGTTGCAGAAAAGGAATTGCCACAGGTCGAAGAATCTGATCCCTGTAGCCCGCACCAGTTAAGTAATCACCAAAGGAGTTCTTTGGCGTGTTATTATTCCACCCCAAATCATCACGGAACCACCACCAAAGCGATTCCTCTCCAAGAGACAGGCCTGTGCATAACGTTCTCCCACGCGTCTATAGGCACGTTGACGTCCATCACTATGGGAAATGTTAAACCTGGACATATCTGTAAAAACAACATTTCTCCACCAAAACAAAGGTCTGCGGACATGATTTCGATGACGTCATTTGTGTTCTGGGTGCACCTAACCAGTGCAGAAATGGTGTTCCGGTGGCAGTGGAAATGTCGTTGAGACATACCCCCACGGACCATCCCAATGGCCTCATGACACTGTGCAGACGTGAGCCTTGGCATGCTATGCGTTTCAATAGCCGTTTAATTTTTTTTTTATGATCGCAAGGGCAGGGGTTGAGCTTTCCAAAGTGACAGTATTGTGTGGCATTCATTTGCTCTGTTTCTCTTTCCCGGAATGCACGTGCAACAACGTCTTGCACGTCTCAAGGACGAACCCACTGACGTCACGGAACGTGGCACGTGCATGCATGTTGGATACATGTCACTGATCTCTGAGTTTAAATCCTTATGTGTCTACACAGGTTTGATAAATTTAGATTTTATATTTTTGTATGCACAGTTTCTTTATGTGCCTAGTATATTTAAAGGATGACAACGTTTGAGAGTCTTTGAGTTCTTGGGGCAGATTATTCCACTCAGTTGCTGCGGTATATGCAAATGATCTATACTGAAAGCCATTAAAAACGCAATTGGTATTTGTTGTCCTACAACTTACAAAAGTTCTATTCAAAAAATTTTCCTGCGATACTGGATGTAGGGATAAAAGGCTGTTATTCTGGCCTATTTCGAGTTCGAGTCCCGGAGCATCCCTCTCACATGAACTTTGATACTTAAAACTGAACCTTGGACCTTTCTCGTAAACACAACCACATTCATGAAACACGTGCATTACCTGCACCCAGGCCCTGTAAAAAGCACAAGGAATTGTGGAACTCAATCACTTTGAGAAAATGCCACACTTGACACAGGACGAAAGGAATCAGGTTATCGGTATGGTCAGCCAAGGTGCTTCAGATGTGATGATTGTCAGGCACTTTGATGTGCATCGATCCACTGTAAGTCGACTCAGACAACGTTTTCGGGCTACCGGAAGTGTTGCTGATCGTCCGCGACCTGGTGCACCACCTGTGATAACAGCTTGACAAAACCGCAATATCCGAGTTTCACACTTGCGAAATCGGTTCCAAACAGCTGATGATTAGGCAAGGAGGACAATTGGGACAAGTCAACGTCATTTCAGCGCTCAAGAGCAAATGGGGGCAATCTTGGCAACAGGACATGGCCAGATGTCATTTTTTCAGATGAATCCATGTTTAACTTATCCTTTGCAGACGGACGTCAACAGATTTATCGACGTAAAGGAGAAAAACTTGCGCCAAACTGTGTCCTTGAACATGGTCGTTTTGGAGGGGGTGGTATCATGATTAGACCACAGACCATCAGAGGCTGCAGACCATCCAACAGCTGTTCCTGAGAAATGTGTGTCTTTCAATGCCCCAAAGACTGCGAGCATGTCTTGCAGCGCATGGTGGACACACACGATATTGACTGCAAGTGACCCTTCCTTTGTGTGATGGCGTTGTTGCGTCACTGATGTTGTTGTTGACTGGACATTTTCAGATGAAATTATTCACAGATGTTCACTTAAAACATATCTGCCAGTTAGGTTTATATATGTTGAAATTAGTGTGAGTAAAGAAAGTATGAATGTCAAATTGCATTTTTAATTGCTTTCAGTATATTAAGCATATAATTATTTGGAAACTTCGTGTGTCTTTAGAAGAGTTTAGATGTAGTTCTCACCAACTGAAAATTGAGATGGGTAGATATTCAAATGTTCCAAGAAATGAAAGATTTTGTGATGTTTGTAAACTCAACTATGTCGAAGATGAGTACCAATTCTTGTTTGTATGCCAGGCGTATGTCCAGTTGCGTGAACAGTTTATTCCTAGGAAATACTACGTATTTCCAACATTAGTTAAATGTAATCTTTTAATGTCCAGTGATAACAGTGATCTGATCTTGGAAAGTTGGCTATGTATGTTGAGAAGTCTATCAGTTTCACCCTTCGTCTTTCCATGGCTATTTAAACAGCTTTTACGACTTCATTGTCATTTCAGTACAACATGTTATGAACAATGCCACGAAGGAGATTGTCAAAGGCTAT